AGAACGTAGTCGTACCGAAACGATTGCCTGAAAAAGAAAAAAAGATTATCTCTGATAGTTGTATGTATTTTATTTACCTTCTGCAGAATTACGAACACACTAGAATCCATTTACATTGTATTTCTTCTCAATCGTCACACTTCGTATAAACTCTGAATGAATTTTTGTTTAATTAATTTCATATAATTGAATTATAACTCGCCTTATTAATAAAATATTGAAAGTGTCTCTATTTTTGACATGAATCATTCTACCTAGTTTCATATCAAGGACATTTTTCTTTTCATTAAATCTTTCTATGACCAGGCTTCATTACATAGAAAGCCTAATTTTAAAAGTCATGATGAAAATTTTTAAATAATGATTGATTTCAAATTTGTATACATGCACGAGAAGCAATAAAGCTTGCTGTTTACCGCTTGAAAAAAAAAATCTATTTTTATATTTGAATAATTATTTTTTTTTTTGCATTCTGACAACAATAATTAAAGACTGCGTCGTTTTAATAGCTAGGTTTCAACATAAAAAAAAGTAATCATAGTCTCCAACTGTTGGTTTACATACATCTATTATCATTTTCACAAAACTATTACTCATTTCAGTAGCTATTGATTCCTTTTCATGAAGCTTTACAAATCAACAAGAGATGTGCAGTCGCCAATTACTATATTTCTGAAAAAAAAAGAAAATACTAAAGACAACCATTTGCTTGTAAGAATAAATTTATTATTGTATTGAAAGAACTGAATCTTATTCAAATGAATATCAGTGTTTTTTGATTAATACTGACAATCTTTGAATGTTAACTTCCTTTTAGAATTATTTGTAAACAAAAACTTCTCAAAAATAAAGGATACCATAAGAGTGTTTGTAATCGAAAACAAAAAGATTATTTACGTTTATTCGTTTCACTACGAACGATTAGACGATACTTCGGAATTTCACTATCATTCCAAGCCCATAGATCAGTTGTTGCTAAAGGTGCAATACTACAGTTTGCGACAGGATCAAAAAGCACAACTGCTGCGTCATCGGGGAGACCAAAATTAATTTTGACGACATGAAGAAGGTTTTCATATGGAAGTTTTCTATGCACTTTGAATGATTTTTCATGTTTTTTATATTCAAAAGTGATGACTCTTGATTGATCATGTGTTGGTTCTAAATAAAGAAAGGGAAAATTATTAGGAAAGACATATCGAGGATCAATGTAAGAAAGCAAACAAAACATCGACTAACAGGTATTAATGATTATATGGTTATGCTCGAAGTAGCATTCAACAAAAAAACACTACTAAGTACTTACCCATAGTAACAAACTATTGATGCGATAATCGAACTTTCGTTTGGAAAAAATGTATTTGTATTGGAATTTGCAAAAATGAGGCAACTTTTATCGATTTCTGTCAAAATAAAAACCCGGGATTGGGTTAGAAAATCGATAAATTATAAAACACGGTACATAGATGGTGCTACAAACCAGATCGTAGTCCTTCTCTTCATCCGTAAACGCAAACACATATCTCAAAGCCACACTTCAATCATGATCAGCTATATCTTTCTCCTGCAGCTGAATGGCAAACGCGTGCAACGCACCACTAATTATAGTAACCTATGCCTAGAAAAAATATCCTGTAATATACCACCGATAAACTTCAGAATAACGAAGACTAGCTTTTTCTATTTCTATTCTTTTGATATACGTATTTGTTTCCCTGTGTTCGATCCTACTTTGGATGTAAGATATCGACAATAATTACAATTGTAGTAGTGTATAGGCGATTAATATAGCCCTATCAAATTTTTTCTTGTGTTAAAATCGTGCAAAGCATAGCATTTGTGTATTTATTCCCAATGTTTGTTTTACGCATTCCTCGACATACATATCAAAGCTTGCC